GTTTGAGGAAGACTTTATAACGTCTAAACTTTATCTGAGGAGGAAACAAACGAAGCTTCAATACCTGTAATCTTTCAGAATGCTTATTGTTTTTTACTTCTTACTCATGATTTGTACTTGTTCACCTCACATTACTCTTTTATAGCACAAATCAAAGTGAATAACAATTTTTGATTGGTTTTTTAATGGTTATAGGAGTAAAAATATTTTGAAAAATTCATAACTTTTGTTCTATAAACTTCAGATCTTTCATAGCCCATTAACGTTTCAGTTTGTTCTGTAACAAGATTTCAGAAAATTCTTAGTCCTGAAAAGCAACAAATATTGCTTCAACGATAAAAAATGTTATCTGGTCCCCAAGAATTCGGAGTTGATTGCCTGTAAGTTTTACTTGACAAGCTGAGTACGAAACTGAATGCAGTCAGTCTGAAAAAAATTTCGAGAAGGTTTACTGTAGGAGTACTGTAATAAATCAGGATCTCAGTATTTTGCATAGATAAATCACTTGACATGTTGATGATTTTTATGCAGGGTCCCTATAGCCTTACTTAATATTTTTTTATCATGGTCGCCTCATAATCTCAAATGTTTTCCATAGGGAAATCTGTTTTCTGTTCGACAAAAACACTTTATCTTCCTGATTTTTTTGGCTACCCGCATTTTATTACGTACTATTGAGGTAAAGAAATAGAAAAGTAAGTGTTCTTATAGCTTAGAAGTTTTCCTTTTTGATTTGATCACATGCGAAATTGTTGTTTTTAGCTTAGCGTTCGTGGAATACTTATAGCCTTAGCAATGCATTCTTTCCTTCGTCTCAAATTTCTATGTAATCATTTCGAGAGGTACTCTAGAGAACACGTCATCATGCGAAGAAAAACTAAAGCATTACGAAATCGGCTTGCCTTTAGTTTGCTACGAAAAAAGCAAAGTTCTCATAATTTGACGATTTTGCAAGCTTTCTAATACTAGAAAAAGAATTGATGATGTTTCAAAAATAGCTTATTTTCGTGCTTTCGCACTGATAACTTTTTGGAAAATAGATAGTTTGATAACAGAAGTTGTCAGCATTCATTCACATGACTTCAACAAATTCATCTTGTTTTTTTCTTGGACCGGCTCTCATGGTCATGTGGCTCTCACACGTTCTCAGAACTATTTTTGACCAAAATTTATTCAGCGGTTACAGGCTTCACGATTTTGGACCATTCTAAATAATTTATTTCTATTTCGAAATGTTATGTGCAAATAATAACCATATGTTTCTGCTACAGTTTGCATTAATCAAATCACACTATATATGTTCCATTCGCGCTACAATTTGCATTGGCACCATGCCAACAGACTCTATTTTGAATTTATATTTGAAAAATCGATTGTTGCAGAACTACGACTTACAAAAACTTGTTGATGTCTAGGAATTAAAAAGTCGGGGAGTCAGTCGAGCAAAAAAATAGAAACAATCCGGTTTTCATCAGTATCATACATTACAAAATCGGCACTACAAGTGCAGAAGATTTTCTCGTGCAAGAGGGGGGTGGGGTGAATTTTTAACGTCAGCAGCAGCCGCATGTGATCCATATAGTGAAAAAACAAATTGTAAACGAATGCTGCGAGAGTTTTCGACTAGAGCCACGGCTGTTTTCGTGCACTTCTTCGATGGATCGAGAGAAGTACATCGACAGCAGCAGTGAGCCGCTCTCTTTACATATGTTTGCTTTCCCATTGCCCCTGTGTCGGCCGAGCCTTTTCCGCCCTATATTTTTCGACATTTTTCGACATTTCGTAGGACTTGTGCCCTTATAGAGTTCCTTTATGTTTGACTTCACCATTTCTGGGTGCTCAGGAATGAGTGAATCATGTTTGACGGGGGCCGGAAAATATTGCAAAGAAGTCTAAAATCGTTAAAATCATGGCCATAGGTAACTAAAAAATTCCAAGAGGGTCGCATTTAATGGATTTTCTGAATTGATATGTATTGTGGTGTATTTAGCGATAATTATTGATTGATAAAAATCCTCAAAGCTTTTTTTAGTCAGAATGCATTCATCAAATTCAACATTTTTGAATAAGACTAGTGAACCAGTAGTCTAAAGATGCTAGATTGCAGAAGCGTTCGCTTCGGGACCCGCCGCGGTTTCCCGTCTTTCGAATATTTTTGAACTGAGCTAACGATTTTTATATATTACATTCTTTATATATTGGATGTTTAGCAGTGATAAAATCTAAATAATTAATGAGCAATTGACCAATGTTGATGACTCCTTAATAAATTCTCAGAGTTTTAGTATTTTTTTACTCAAATTGAATTTGATGATTTTTGAAATAAAGTAGATTCCTTTAACTATTCACAAATTAGCAATAAACAGTAATGGTCATAGGCTGAAAATCTCAAAATATCTTTTCGGGTCAAGTTTTCATCAACATGGGTGTGGTTAAAATTACTATCGACCAAAAACCTTAATAATCACCCTAATGTCCATTTTACCATTTTTCCAAGCTTGATTTGGTGGAGTTTGCTCCGTTATTTTGATACAAACTAGTGGCAGTTTATGTTCATATTTCTTTATTTGGAAGGCTCTATCTCGGTACACTTCAGCTATGTCCATTCGATACATCCTTTACCTTTCTTTTTATCTGCTATGGTAATTTGAAACATCTGTGGTGAAACAAGAGTAACAGGACTGGCTTTTATTATCATCGGTCGAGTGTTTTCAAAGCTTTCTCATTTGACAAACGTTTTAAAATTATAAATATTCATATTTTAAGATTACGCAAATCTTATATGCTTAAGAATCTATTATCTTAATGAATTAGATCCAGTTATAACCTCTGTATTGTTGAACTCATGTGATGCATTCAATCAACTTTTTCTTCGAACCAGCTGCACGAAAGTTGAAAAACAAATCTGTTTATTTCGCTGCAAAACTTTTTTATCTATATGTTTTTAGCAGAAGAAAAAAAAGAAGAGTGTCCTTGAAAACGGCGGGGCATATGTGCTTTGATCAAAGTTGCGATTAAAAGAATTTGTATTTTGTTTAACCCTTTAAAGTTTGGATTTTTGAGCATGAATTCTTTCTCGCTAGTATTTTTCCTTATTCATAGTAGCGTACATATTTATAGATAAAGTTAGAAGAATTTGGCATTTTTTATGTCTTGATATCTTCAAATTTTTATTTTCAAGTCTTGAATGGGACAAAAAATCTTTTACAAACAATTGTTATTTCTCCAGGCTTATCTGGAATGTTTCATCCTCTGCACTTTGCAAAATAAAGTTTCTTTGCAAAAAGCGTGTAATCCAGCGTAACATTTGTAAGTAGTGGATCAACATTCGCGGAATTTTTGTGTTCACTACGGGGCGACCCATTTAGAGCCGATCTGTACACTCACTCGCCATGTAAACACATCATCTCATCCCCCCCCCTTGTGTGCACTATTCTACCAACAAATTTGAACACCTTCTCTACGAGTGTCGCGTTTCTTCCCGTTACCCTGCTCAGCTCATTCCCCGACAACGTTTGAGCTCCGATATCCCATCCACTTATCGACCAGCCGGCAAGCACGAAGCATGCCTGGTCATACGAGACGGTAGCGGAGAGGGGGGGGGGGGGGTAGAAGAAGAGGGGGTCCAAGCCTGCTACTAAACACTTGAAGGCCTCTTAGGGATCTTGTATAGATCTCCTTTTACGCAAATCTCAAAACATTTACGACAAGGCCGATTTTCCGATGACGGCCATTTCGGACCGCAGCATATTACGCAATATTGAGTTTGCGTAATATTTTCTGGTCATTGATGGGTTCTGTAGTCTAAAATGTTTATCTTTTAAAAAGGTTCCTAGAGATGTACACGGAATACTTGAGTTGCCCAAAAAATTGCATCGTAAACAGGCGAAGTCATAAACTTCAGAAAACATAAAACCTGTCGATGGATCATATCGTCCGAATGGGAGGACGCGTATGGCCCATCCGTGGGTCGTATTGTCGTGAATGTGTTAATGTGAACTGCTTAGAAAACTTGGAGTTTTTGGCGGCTGTCTTGTATGGTGAAGCAGAAACGGTAAATTTTATATCTTTTGATAATTGCGCAGTACGTCGTAATGCTCAACTTTGCAAAAAAGCCTGATCTTTGGCTTCAAAAACGACCTAAACAACTTAAATTCAATAAAAATATAAGATTTAGTCAAAATAAAAGACTAACAATTGGGACTTTTTACGAATCTTGAGATTTTGATGGTTCTTTGACACATTTAAGCAAATTTATTTTTTCGAGTTCTGAAAAAAAAGCAGCTATTTTGACATGTCGCTCTCAAAATTTAGAGTGAGTGATTTTATGCTTTAAGTATTGAATAGGAAAAATCATTATTGAAAATCAACAATTCCAATTTTAATACTTTTCCATACAACAATTACCTTATATGTGTTAAATTTTTTCTGCTGACTACTTTTTTTTCTCCCATAATTTTATTGTGAGATATAGACAGCATGATTGACCTTTTTTCTAGAAGTTGTCCTTCATTCACTGTTTTTCTTTTATTCCCAATCTTCACTTCAAATCCTGTCTTATTTCTTACATCTTTTATCGCTATTCATGCCCTTCCTGAGCTAAATCTTAGATTATTGCGTTTTTCAATTACAAAATTGGAAGCCCTTCTGAAGTGGTCATGATCCAAATGACATTTTTGATCAACCATATCGTAAACGGGCGGCAAATATCAGCCATTCGAGGGGCTCGCAACGATTCGGCATTGATTGTCATGCCCCTTATGGGACTCTCAAACTTCGGCCTGCAAAAGATTTGTTGTTTTTTGCTAATTAAGTCAGGGGAGAAGTGAGGACTGTTTTTTCCTTGTCCTCTGCTCTACAACCAGGGTCTTTCGTCTCTGTTGCTTCTAATCACTTCTTTCATGCATCCTCTTGCTCACCGTTTCTATGCATTTGAATCTGATTACCTTCCCACAGATTGACAACAGTTTTTACTGTGGAAGTAAAGAATTTATTTCCAGAAACAATGGCCTACGTGCCATCGTCGGACGTGCCGTCGGCATTTCTAATCAGCACGGGTAAGTCTTTTTTACTTGGATAATAAAATTAATTGAATAAATTTGATCTTTTGGAGTGGATAAAAAAAGGCATATAATGCAATCCATGATAGACTTTGCTTTTTGCTTTGCCGAAATTAATAAAGCTGCTGTATCATCTACTGTTCGACATGATTAATCGAGTGGTCTAGCATAGCCCCCCCCCCTCTCCTCCGCTCTTCCCAAGGAGTGGAATTTTTCAAAGATGGTCTAGATCAATGATGTACCGAGGGGGAGAGTAGTGAGGGGGGGGGGGACGCGCACTTGATGATGAGTTGCCATATTCTTGGAAATTTACTTGAGTTATGAAGATGTGCAAGTGACTTGTTTGTACTTGTGAATAGTCAAAAATTTGAAAATTTTGAAAAACAGTCAGCCTTGTAAAAAAAAATTTCTATCCACTTTTCCAAAAAGTTCGGAGTTTATGGGCCCGCAAGTTGGATAGTCCCAAAAAGAAATTTTTGGAGTGCGTGACGGACACCACGCGCGTTTATTTGAAAGACACTCCCCCCCCGCCATGGGAAACAGGAATGGAATGTCTCTTCTGAGTAGTGGATGGTGTTAAAAAGCTTCATCGAGGCCCTCCAACATTTTTAGTTTTACGGTATGTCGCAAATGTGCAATTGCAGTGCAGGGCCTAGTTTGACGAGCATTGCTGCAGCTGGCATGAAATTGGCTGTAGTGCAGTCGAACATTTTTGCGCCTTTTTCGAAATTACCAAAAAATTCCTCTAGTAAAGAAAGTAATGACTTGCAGTCTTATCAAATAATCTATTATCTAAGCATTCACCGAGCAAAGCCCATTTCTTTCTGTTGGGTAAGATATTCCACTAAAGTTATTTTGAGCTTTCTCATGTCATTTTGTATCTGACTTCCCATGGACTTTATGTATCAATTACCTTTTTTTTTGAATTCTAGACGCTGACGCCGTCCTATTGGATCTCTTGGGAACCTTTGTGCTACTAGATGGTGGATCGGAGAAGGTCCGATTCACGAAACATGTGCGACAGGTGGGTCTAGTATCTTTCATCTGGCAAGTCATTTTCAAGAGATCAAAAGAAACCAATGTATATTCCATCGAATAAGGTCATCCAGATTTCACATCTCTTTTTTTGGAAAAGAAAGACGCTTGGATAGTTTAACCTTTGGCCAATTCTTGTTGTTTTCGCTCGAAGTTTTCAGGCTCTTTACAAGAGGGCGAGCTTACCATTAGTTGTGTGCATATGCTAAAATATGCTCCTCGCCCAGTAGGTAAAATGTGAAGTTGAATAAGTCTGCGAAATTTCGTGAAAGACACATTCCAAGGTGGAAGAATTCTGGGAATTTGGAGTTCGTGTAATTGCTGGTGCCGCACTTCTGCTATAAATGCAAAAAAACCTAGTGTATAGTTGCATCAGCGGAGCTTTTGTGCATTTTTTTCTGGGAAGTATCATATCCCATTACATCTCACCATATGTTTGCCGTAACGCGGAACATATGTTATATTCTCATTCATTGAACTTTTCAGATTGACGCAAACATCATTAGCGCTCCAACAAAAGCTGCACTCACGAATGCGGTAGAGTTGAATAAGGTTGGTCAGTATTTACAGAACTCGTCAAGATCGTATGTGAAATAATTACAGGAGACCATCGTACCGCTGGTGGGTAATTTTCCTAATGTGAAGGCAGCTGGCACAGACGACTCAGTGGCTGCGCTTCTCAAGAGCGTAGAAAAAGTCACTGAAGGCCGTCCTGCAGTTACACCCACTCGTTTCAGTCCGAAATACGAGCCAATTGTCATCAGTAAGGTAAGCCAGCTTCCTGTATAATTTTCATTTTTTGCAGCGATTCATTTATATATAAAAATAATCTTGTTTTGTGCATATCATGTAAAATCCCTTGTTACGAGTGCGGTCGCACAAAGAACTTTTCCTTGAGATCAAAAAAATGCAATACGTTTGGTGAACAGAATATTTTTGAACTGGACACCTATAATATAAACTCTTGCAAGCAACTGAGAAGTTCAAAGGCTAGTTACCGACGAAGGCAAATGTAAGCCAACGCAAACGCTGCGGTCGAGCATCTACCATGGGAGCGCATCAAATGCACAAGGCCGATGATTGCTAGCGCCGCGTTCGCATGCGCTTGCCTCATATCGGAATCTGCTTTCATTCGAGATTAACCCTGCATGGGCCAAGACTTGACCATAACCAAAAACCTTTTTTTGCAATGTCCTGTTTTTATTATTTTCAAAATAATATCTCTAGCATATTTAACTATCTATGGTAAAACTCAAAACATTCGCTCATGCTCCTGTTTGCTGTCGCAGTCAAAAGGGAGCCCAGTTTTTTTTTAATCTCCATCCTCTTTCCAGTCTCTTCGTACTGGTCGTCTCGAGTTAATCGTTCTTGCGGGTGATGCAAAGGAGGTTGAAGCGCTACAGAAGGCGGTGGAAACCGGCGATGAAAAAGTTATCGAGAAGGTTTGATTTTCTGTCTTTATATAAAGGTTCTATGAATATGGGCGCAGTATTTTTTGTGCTTTAAGGCCGCTGCTAATCATGGGACCATCTCCGTGTTGGTTTGGTTCCCAGCAATTGGGACGGATCCTATCAAGAGAGTGCTGCATACTGGTATGTTCTCAAACACTTGATCAACTGTTTTTTTTTCTATGTTTTTGAATAACGGCGACATTTCAATCACTTTTTTCCACGGCACAACGGTTCATTCATATTTCTGTGATTCTATTTGCTTTTCAGGCACCGCCCCATTAGCGCGCATCGTATCCGCTCTAGAAAAAGCCAAGGCCTTGCCCTATCTTCACAGTCCAGTAGTATCAGCAGCAAATGCATACAAGGAAGTACCAGTAACGCGACAGGCAGCTACACACAATGCACCGAAAGCTACAGCAAATAACAGAACACCAGCAGTACCCACACGCGCAGCTCCCCCAAAACCAACTAATAACAATGCAACAAGCAGGGTAAGGATACTTTTTGGGTGTTTTGAACTATAAGATTTTTTTGGGCGTTTATAGCTCGCTGCCACAAAACGCCCCGCAGCACCCGCAGCGCCAGCTCCAACTTCACGACCCAATACGAATAATGCCAGATCAGGTTTTCGTATCCTCCACATTTGTAATTTTTGCAATTTTCAGCAATCTAGATTTGTGCGCATTAATCTATTGCTTTTAGCACCATCAAGCGCTAAACCGTCTCCAGCTCGTTTGTCAACTGCTCCGGCAGCTAAAGCCAAACCGGCAGGCACCAATGGAGCCACTAACAAAGCAGCATCCGTGCCAGCCAATAGGACAGCTAATGCTGCCGCCAAGAAAACAAATCACGAAGCGCCCATACAGAAAACTACTGTGTAAGTTTCTGCTCTTTTAAGTTTCTTCGAAGGCTGAGTTTATTTTTTTTAGAGCTCCACTGAAAGGAGCTGCAATGTCGCGCGCTGCAGGAGCCGTCGGTAAAGCTATCGGATCTGTCACGGGCAAAACTGGAGGAGAATCAAAACCAGCGGGGAAACCACCAGCAACGCAAAAGGATAAGAATGATAAGAACGCTAAGCCACCAAGTCCAACCGGAGGCACTGCTCCCGCCCCTGCTGCTCATCCTGATGCACCGTCTCCAACCGCAGAGGCAACAGCTCCAGCGCCAACACCTTCTCCAACTCCAGCACCTCATCCGGAAGAGGCTAAAGAGCCAAATACTACTCCTGTCGCACCCAAGCCAAATGTGAGTCATTTACTTCTTGCTTTTTCTTCTATATTCTAAAATGATCGTCTACCTGACTGTGATTTTACCCTCATACTTTGTGAGTCATTCCCTTTTTGTCGTGGTTAGCCAGCTTTAGTTGATTGTTTATCGTAGAAAATGGGACTCAGTTACTACGTTCTGATCGCTAACCCCATATTCGTCCCATTTTATCTCTGCTTGAAAGCTTTTGTAGTGGCTTGTATGAATGTTGTCCGTGCTTTTTAGTTGGACGATTCCGTGGTATGTCTAGACGACGTAGTACCTGATATAGCCATCGATGCTCCACAAGATCCAGCATCATCGGATCTTCGACCTCCGATCGAGTTGGTGGTGATTCCGCCAACTCCGGAGCCAAGGTCGCAATCGCAGCGTTCTTCTGTAGATGGAATACTAGATGGAGCAACAACGTCTCCGGTGGTGTCACCAAAACCTGAATCCGATAAGGAAGCTGAGGAGGACCAGGTAGTGTTCGAGACTTAGATCACCTACCGCTAAGTTCTAGACCGCGAATGCTTGGGACTTTGTGTTACTTTTTGCTCTTGAACTTGCATGCTCGTCAAGTGTTCGTCATAGTTCATATATTTCATGTAAAAATAGAATGAGAAAATGTAAAGGAGATGTTTTTTCGCGCAGTAGGTCTTTTTTTTTTGGGAAAATCGACTCAAAGCGCATTATAGTTCTGTTTATAACATGACTGGCAACTCGATCATGTGTATTCTCTCTTTCAAAGGATATCTCTCATAGCTTAGGAAAGCTTCCAAATTACGACTGATGTAAAGTATAGTTTTCCCCATTTCCTCCCTTTTTAGTCCTCCCAACCTTTCCCTACTCCATCTTACGTTTTTCCTTTTTTCCCTGATCGCTTCTCGTTCCACCCTTTATTAGAAAAAAAGGAAGAATTGGCATTTTTTTAGATACTGCTTTTTTTCGCGCTACATAGAAGCGACTGATTAAAAATCATGGTGTCTTGTTTTTGACCCTCTAGATACCGAAGGTTTGATAGAATTTCAAGGAGTTGGTTAAAGAAAAAGTCTCGTTTTGAGAGAACCCATAATAATATTGTGAGACATTGTTCCATTCACAATTGGGCTTTAGTTCAGTGCTTGAAAGCATTGCATTTTTTGCTTCCGATAGCCTAATTTAGGAGAAATACCGTTACAGAAAGAGCTCACGAAAACCGCACTACACTGTATCATTGCTACCATCTGCTATCTACTGTCGACTGAATGCAGTTGTAATGTGTTGTGTTGTAGAACGTGTTGTCGACTGACGACGATCGAGGCAAGATTAGTGATGCATCAGTATCGCCTAAACCTGATCAGAAACCAGCAGAAGATTCGAAAAAGGAAGTAGAAGATCATAAGCCAGCTATGCCGATGCCTGAACATGATGAACATTTGGATCAAAAGAAAGACAAAGATGTGACACCCGAGCATCCATCAGATTTGAAGGATACATCTCCAGATCATCCGCCACCTACGGCGCCTGAACGCTCACCGTCTCCAGAATCTAATCGTGCGCCATCACCGAAAGATACGAAGCCTACTCCACAGCCGGAGCCCGAACCGAAACATGATGAGCCCGAACCGAAACATGATGAGCCAATGCCCGATCATCCACATGTCGCACATGATGAAGATGCTGGAGACAGCAAACCTCCGAAGTTGTACCCGGAACTTCCGACACCTGATGACTCGCATGGCGAAACACCGTCACCTTTACCCAAAGATAGAAGTCCGTCTCCAAAACCGGAAACACCAGGCCATGCACCTCAGCCTGCACCAGTGAGCCCTGTCGATATACATGGCGCACCAGCCGAGCCATTCGGTTTGCCGTCAATTGCACATCCAACACCTCCACCTCCAGCTAGTGATGTTAGAAATGAAGGCGACATTCCTGAAGAGTTCAAGGTTCTTATTATCTTTAATGCACGCATGCTTCCATCGCTTCCTAGCCTAGGGTGTAGTTTTAGATGTTGTTATAGAATAGGCCCGATATTAGAAGATCCGATTAGATGTTGCATATTAGTTTGATGCATCATCAGCTCCTTTTCAGCCCCCACACACTCCGCAAGAACCTGGAGAGAATGGTTTGTTGGACGATCTGGAAGAGCCTCCTAAACTCATGAGAATTAGTATGGATACCGACGATTTGAATCAGGCTCTTGAGGTTAGCTTCACTTTCTTATGTTTTTCTTGTCGTAAGTCAGTCTTTTTCGCTATAGCTTCATTTTTCTACATTTCAGAAAGGAGCCACAGCTGTTGCTGATCAACTTGCACAGTGCTTGGACAATCTTACCCTTACCGGCAGCAATGAGGTAGTGAAACCGTTTTTCATTTTGTTATATATCGCCAAGGATATTTATTCAGAAATTAGACGACAAGGATTTGACAGAGACGAAAGCAGAAGTAGCCAAGGAAATCAGCCAACAAATGATCCAGGAAGCATCAACTCCATTCACAGCTGCATTGGCTTCTACCCTTGCGGAAGGAACCGAGTTTGCTAAAATGGTATGGCTTCATTTCCAATATCATTGAAATTCTTTTCTGGCAGTCAGCTGTTTCAGTATCTGTTCAATTTTAGGCTGCAAGCTCAGCGCTTGATCAGCTCGTCGAAGTTGCTAGCACGGTATCCGAGACCGTTGTAGATGGTGTGAAAGAAGCAGCCGAAACCGTCAATGATAAGGTATGCCCTACTTCTCGAGTTCTGCAAATTTCCATGTTCTTTGTTTCCTTCGATTTCTTTTAAATCCTCCTTGCACCGTGTTCATGTCGCTTGGCTCTATGTTTGGTGTTAGCATGTTCAGTAGACTTTGTAGCTTTGGCAAGCGCGTATTTTTTGTGGCCAGTTTGATTTTCTCTAAGCTGTATTGGAATGTCGCGTTACGGAAGTGCAAGAAGCTTATGATGTCTGTATGCGTCACTTTGTAGTGCTACTATGGCGAAAGTGCACCTGATAAAATCTATAAATGTTCACTCTTGCAAAAGTGATGGGCGAGCAATACAGTAGGGTCAAATTGAGCTCTCTTATGACTGTATTGGTTTAGATGAAGGCAATGCAAACACGGTCTAGTCTTATAGAAGATGATGGCGAAGAAGAGCGCCCTATCAAGTTCGAAGAGGTGAGGCAGTGTTGTTCACCTCTTCATTTTCTTCATCATAGCTTACATTTTGTGCGCTATGACGAGATGTTTTTTTTTTCAGACTGATCCTGTAATCGACAATGTACTAGAGAGTGTTGCTAGTGACTCCGAACGTGTTGATCATGCGTTGAGCAATGGTAGCTCGGACATGGAAGTGAAGGAGAATGGCAAAAAGCATCATGAGGTGGGTTTGAGTCAGTTCCCATCACTACATTGCGAAGTCGCATAAATTTGTTTGTATCGAGGTCAAGAATGTGTTTTGCAGGTCGATGAAGAGGGTTTCCGGGTCGCTGCTGATTCCCACGATACCCGGCTTTTCCTTCCACCGCCATCAGCAGCTCGTGGCAGAGGTAAGCATCGATTTTGCTTTACCCACAATCACCTTGACTATCTCCTCATTTGTTTCAAAATTCTTATCTTCTTTATTTGATGTTGCTATAGCATTGTCTTGGATCTCAATAAGATTGTTTTGATAGCGAATTACTCGAACTGCATTTGTGTCACTTCCTTTTGAGCTCTTTTTGGAACCATCAGATTTAGCTTGTTTCATGAAGTAGCACACAAATAAGTTTTCAAAATCGGAGCAAACATATTCACCCCAATAAGGCCATCCTGTTCCAGCCCCTCCGGTCCCACATTTGTCGCGGCCACTCTACTTTGAGCTAGCAACTGTTCCACATTTCAACGGAAAATGTAGTCTTCCTGATGAACAAAGCGCCGTCGAGTATTTCACGAATATTAGGTCAGTTATCTCATAAATTCGCTTTCAATGTCTGCTCAATAACGATTTTCAGGTCAGCTAACTACATTTTACATAGTGAAGACGTCTCTCCAGCTGTGCTTGATGGTTGGCTAACTGGCAAAAAGCATTGGCTTAACAATGGTAAGAGGGAAATCAAGATTTATGGGTATTTTTTTCTGATTTATTGGTTTTCTTTATCCTTAAACTGTACAATTTTTGACTTTCCCGCCATGTCTTTCAGGTCACAAGACCCGCATAATCCCGACCAGGCACCATAGCGCCTTACAAGCATTTGTCACCGAAAATGCAGCCCAACTGGAAGAATATGGTCTAGTTATGAACTCATCCCTAGAACATAACACAATTTCGATAAACACAGAAGAAGGACGGGAAGACTACCATATGATCAAGATTGAACTCTAAACAAGTTATCTCGTAAACTCATTTGAATTTACACACCCACAACAAAAAATTCTCATATAGTTATCCTAGCCACTTCTAATCTCGTGCATCATTTTAATTTTTTTCTATAATTTATACGAGCTTAAAGGCCGAGTGACAATTTCTCTATATAAGCGCCACCAAGCTTTCTTTTCGCAAATGCCCTAAACAATTTGAGTAATCTTATCAAAACTGGTTGACTATGTTTTTTTCTCGCTACTGTGAACTATTTTACTAGTATTGAATAATGCAGCGTGTGTGCGTTAGTGTTTTACGAGAGCCTAACGACCCCCATTCTTTTCCCAAATATCGCTATCCTTTCAACTGTAATGTAACATAATTTTTATTGCATCACACACTGTATACGATATTTAAGAGTAGTTTTAGTTGTTGCATGTTGAGTTACGTTTTTTTCAATTTCAATAAAATTTCACGAAAATAATTATTGATTGTTGTTGTTTTGAGAGAATATAGCAGGAAGTAAACAATCAGCCCACCTCAGACTTTCGGATTTGAGGGTGAGCTTTGCCGAAAGTCGTTTGTGGCTAGCAATGCAGAAATTCTATGTATTTAGACATATGCTCGTGCGTTATTTCTTTTCCTCGAGGTAAAGAAAGGAAAAGGACATCGAAAAGGTTACAAGAATTATAATGCGAGTTGGCCATTTCCAAAATCTTCAAATTTAATCCACTTTCTATCCGTATCTGCCGTACCGGGAATGCCAATTGATCTGCTCGGAAACCCAAATTGGCTTAGACACCGTTGTTATCCACTGTTCTGATCGACATTTAGTGAAATGGCAGGCTGTTCATACTATAGAAAATCTCAAATATTGAGAAGCGATGAAATAAGGAAAGTGGGTGGCACAAGCGGATTTTTGTTTCAGAAGCTCTGAGGCGTACAGGCCCCGTAAAATTTAATTGCCCACGCGTCGCTTTGAACACCAAGGCGCGGCGCTGCTGGGAACGTTTGGTCCCGAAGCGCTACCGGCTTTTTGCGAGCGACAATGAGCGCGCACCCTTTCCACACATATTTTTTTAAACTTGTGAAGGGAGCTTTAGTCGAGATATACCTTGCATTGACGAGAACAACATGAAAGCTAAAGAAAGATTTTCTGGAATATAGTGAACGCCGACAGTCGTTCGCGACGACCGCTCGCTTACGCTGGTGTTCAAGGCACGGCGCGGGCAATTAGGTTTTACGGCGCCTATATTTTGGACTCACCTTTTTTTAGAGATTGCACAAATAATGGTAGTCCCAAAGTGCATTTGCGCACATTTGCTGCTTGTAGAGTCTTTAGCTGCTTTTGAATATGAAGAGGAAAATATCTTTTCATGTGTTTGACCGCACTGACGTTTTGAACTGGCCACTGAGTTCACATATTACAGTAAAATGCAAATCCCGATAAATCAAACTCTATAAATAATCTATAACATGGTAGAACATCAACATTGAATTGATAAGATGGTAACTACAGCATTTGACACTGTATTCGGTAAGGAAAAAGAATTTTCAGAAAAGACAGAAGAAGAAGTTTAGCAGGAAACAAGGAGACCAAAGACTATCCGCAGTTCTTTCAGTGTGTTTTCTCGCACCTTGTATGTAACACAACATAAAAATTAATATGCTAAATAAGTAGATTCAGAAGATATTCTATGTTCTCTGTGCGTTTAGAAGACATTTTCGGTATTAGTTGACGACTGTGACAGAATTCAGACCTTCAAAAAAAAACCGCGCTTAACTAGGAAGGTCCGTTTAGTCGAAGTGGCCTTTTTATGTAACTCCTATATCACTTTGAAGAGCAATGAAAGATAGTATCAGATCTGTCTTCATTATCTGCCAAACACTTCTAGAGGCCAAGTTTTGAGCGTTCGTGGGTTGAATTGATTGTGCAACTCGAACAAAATTCGTCCAGGATTCAAATGATCCAATGTTAATTACCAAAGCACTTCATTCAATAAATAACTTCCAAATACACTCGTACTCAAAATTGCTCCATTCGAGTGCTAAAAAGAACGTAACAGTTGTTTTCATAATTTTTGGAGGGGCTTGGCAGATATTGAAAACAGGTTTGGAATCAGCGTTCAATGCCTCTCAAAGTGGTGTATCATTCAGAAAGGCCACTTCGACTAAATGGACCTCCCATGTAAGAAGAAGAATTGCTTTGAGTATATCTAAATATCAGTGATAGCTAAAAGAATTATTTCGATCGTTCACAAGAATAAACAAGTTACTTGCGCATTTTTATAACCCATATAAGTAATTATAAGTAAGGCGCCCCCCCCCCCCCCGAGAACGGGTCGCGATATTTTTGAAAATTACTTATAACGATTGAACGATTGAAATAATTTTTAAAAATTTTCAAATTAGCGCTGACGCCACGCCCCCTTTTTCCAGATTCTAGGGGTTGGGGACCCGCAAAAATTTTGAGGAACACCCCATAAATTTTTTCGGAGTGCGCGGCTTACGCCATGCACCTTCATCGGAAAAAGTCCTCCCCCTCCCCCTCCCGCCGAACGGAAATCCTGGGACAGAGCAACTCTGGAAGAAATTCTTCGAAACACGCTTTCGTGCTATTTGATGAAAAGTTGGGAAACATGCATTTTTGGGTGACGAGACATTTCGTTTGAGAGAAATTCGAGCATAATCGTGACGATTTTCATTCCTTTCAAAATTTGGTGTGGTAGTTTGGAATTATTGACGAATCCCACGGAGAAATTTTATCAGAAAATTCTTTGCATGGCTTTTTGTTATCATGTTGTCCCTAACACTCTACAATCTATGATTTTTGTCTTTCATCTACAGTATCTGAGCTCCTAGCTGTTATCTGGGCTCACATTCAGATTGATGATTTGTTATTTCGGTGTTAAAATATAGAATCAAGTAGTCCCTACAAATCTCTGTTGAACACGAGCAGCTGTTAGTCGGAGGTTGTTTATCCTAGCGATAACATCGAGATTCTACCTCTCTAAGGATGTTTTATGGTTACCGGGTTACCAGGTTTGATTGTCTCACAAGTTTCCACCACAACTTACTGAAAACCCTTTAACAAAACGCTCGAACCTTCAAAATTATTTTTTTACCTTTTCCTCTGAGTGCGAGATGCAATATCATTTGAACACATACTATTATAAAAGTGTTATCCATAAAAATGAAAAATTTGAAAATACGAAAACCATAACATTGAAACTTGAACATCAACATTCTTTTGACAATGGCTCACATATTACGGTAAATTGGTGCGAGGCTAATAAAACAACATAATAAATCTCACCGGTCATCAAAAATCGTGTGTGTTTGTTAGGTTACCTTTTATACGATCTGATTTTCGGATAATTTGTTGATATGCGAGCTTTTTGGAAGTAAGGCTTCTACCAAAAGCTGGAAAATTCTTTGCAGGGATTTACTTTAGAAAATCACTGAAGACAGGTGATTATACGGTGAGAACACAAGAAGTCTTTCTATGGGAATATATCTTGCTGTCTGAAGCCTACAGGTCAACTTTTTCAAAGAAAAAAAAAGATGTTGTCTGCGTTTTGATATGATTTTCCTACATACATACGTATTTTCCTGAAAAGTACCAGAAATAATTACACGCTATTTAGTGATTGCCTTTCAATGCATGCTGAATTGCTTTACTCAAAATACCGTCGAGTCATCCGTTACTCAAAGAGCCGGGAAGTTCACGCGATTTTAGTCGCGACGCGCTTTGGCAATTTGCCGGAAGTCTTCAGATCCGACACTAGCAACTTGCACATGCATAATGTGTATTGCGTAGATTGATGAAATGCCCTATCATCTGTACTTTTGAAATATGCTTACGGGAATTATGGGCAGTTGGAAACATTGCCAAATCGCGTTGCGACTGAAATCGCGTGAAGTATGCGCAGAGCTCAATAAGTGTAGTGCACATCATGTGCGCTAACGGACAAACCGCAAAATTAGAAACTGCTCATTTGCAGTAAATTCCAGTTTTCTTGTCTCTTTTGATTTTAATGGATATATATTATATGTTAGTCAGGAAAACAAGTCTGTACAATTTTTTAGGCTAGAAAATGTTTTACTGAAAAGTAAGTTACTAGTAAGGGTAAGGGTGCCGTCGCTAGTCGCGCACAGTGTGCAATCTCCACATTAAGTTACAATTGGCTCGAGGAAAAACAAATAAACTAATTCGTACTTGTGAGACTCATTTAAAGCAAAAAAAATTCATAAGTTTTACTAAATTCTTGATTTTGGAATGTTATCCCACCTTTGTTAAACATCCTCACAAATATCTCCTAAAGTAGGGGGAATATACATTTGAGTATATAATGTGGGAGAAATAGCGTTGCACTATAACTTGATGAAAGTTCAAATAATTATTTACTATCAAGTGGTGTAGTGAACATTTGAAATGGACATACTTATTGAATGTGATGATGTTCTTCTTCGATAACACTCTACATATACGTACGTTTTGCAATATGATAGAATGCTTGGACGAATGCTTTTGTTCAGTTGTCGTCCTTCAACTTTTATCTGAAGAGTGCTGCTAAACCCAGATACTCTTGTAGAAATCATTTTTTAAGGAAGCTCGATCTTGTCACAATGAAAAAAGCTGTTCCAGTGTTCTGAATACAAGCGAGAAAATCATCAAATCTGCAAGTCCTTTGATTTTGCCTACGAAAACGATGATCCCAACGCGAAGTCTATAAGTTTTTGTACAAATATGAAAACTGTAGGAATTTCTCAATACAACGTATATACTCAATCTCCGAACTAAGGAACCTTGTCTTAGATAGTACTGATGACATTTTTAAGATTTTTACTCCGGTTTCAATGTAATGGAGAGGTCACCTCGAACCAAGTACACTGTTCAGCTGGGCTCACTTCCCTTTTCAAAATCAGATTTGTGTTCAGTATTTGCTGTACACTGTATATATAAGAGCCGTATCGCTCACTTGTGATGGTCCCTGATGGTTTGACTAATTGTTTATCACAGAAAACAGAAATTTGGTTTTTTAAATTCCGCGCTCATGCCTAATCGTTTTTAAACAAGTTAATCTTGTACTAGCATGTCCGTGTTGTACCTCGGGTATATAAGGGCTTGTTCAGCATGTGTTTGCAATCTGCTGATCAATTGGCTGGTCTTTAACAGTTCCAGAAATTATTTTCAACTTAACATTTGCCTCATACTGAATGTTGCTACTTATGATACGAGAGCATTTTAGCTACAAGTTAATATGCATTCGATTTCCTTTCGGAAATGAATCGTAGTACCATTTCTGCTAATGATGTTTCTCACCAGTTCATAGGACTGTAATATGATTGCTGTCAGTGCGTCACAGCATCCTATTACCATGAATAATGAGCAAAGATGAGGCTAGTATCAAAGTTTGGTTCTGCGCTATACCTCTCTGCAAAAAATTTCCATTTGCTAGTTGGTTTTGTAAACA